GTGGCTTAAAACTCATGAGGAGCATGTGTGCGTGCATGCTCAAAATCCTGAGAAGAGAATGGATGAGAAGGGATTGCAGCGTGGCCATTACCCCTGGGGGTGATTTCTCACTTTCTGTCTCTGTCTCTCCAGTGACTGCATGTACCCTATACCAAAAATCTCTCTAAAAAATTAAAAATCAAAACACATTTCATTAACCTCTTTAAGAGTATACTACAAAAACATTCTCAAATGTTCGGTATAAATTCAAGTAAGCCAAAATAGTATAGACTGAAAAATGAAAATGCTCTCTCACTAGATTCTTTTCCCCTCTGAACCAACCCCACTCCCTTCCCCACAGGTAACTGGCACTAATAGTTGGGAATTTTCTCTTTCAGTTTCACTTCTTGTGTCTGCATTAATTATATTGTCTAAGTCTCTATTTCTTTTCTAATCTTTTACAATAAACAATATACAAAACCTTCACATTTCTAGCTCTCAAGGAATCCCACCAGGCACATGTGACAATAGTTGTCATGATGTGTATAAAGCTACTGGTATTGTATTTTATTCTCTTATTTATTTATTTATTTATTTATCTATTTAGTCATTGTGATTTTTCTCTTTTGTTTTCCTCCTCCTCCTCCTCTTCCTCCTTCTTCTTCTTTTTAAGAGAGATTTTTGCTATAGGGTGCATGTGCTCCCTGGAGACACAGGGAGATAGAGAAAGAGAAATTGAGAAACCATCCCTCAAGGGGGATAGTGATACTGCAATCCCTTTTCCTCTGTTCTCCTCTCAGGACTTCAAGCACACACACATACACACACATACCCACCAAGAGTTTCAAGCTATCCAGTCTGGAACTCAAACCGCAGTTTTCCATGTGGGAGTCCAACGCCTTAACCACTACCCCATCTGCTGTCCCCATTTGTTATGATTTTCAAGCCACCAGGTCCAGAACTCAAACTACAATCAGTCATGCGGAAATTCAGTGACTCAACCACCATTTTACCTGGTAGGCCTCTCTACTTTATTCTTAATTTAAATAAATCAGAAGGAAATTGATCATTTTTATATTCATTCAGCAATAAATCAGTTATTTGAAAATGGCCTAAAACATGTTATCAGTTGTGTTAGTGGGAGAGATCCAATTGAAGTTACTCACTTCAATGCTGAGATTTCTACTAGGGTCTCCAACCTCCCTGTTATATAGAAAGATTAACACCAATTTTTTTTTTAATTGAAATAGTTCTCCAACTAAGCCATTTTCAATGCATTACTTTTTTTCAATCCCTTCTTTTAGGTAATACAAACACAATCACAATAGGACTGTTGTTTGCTAAGTGGTGTGTGGTTCTTGAAAAAGAAACACCTTTTTATCAGCTACACATCTCACTGGCTAAACTGATGAAATATAATTCTCAATTTGAGATCAGGTGTAAAATAGTTTCTTTTGAAGTACACTTTTTTTGAAATATAAAATGTTTATTCTAAAATAAAAAATTTGTCAATGCATAAAAATATCAGGTCATTGGGACAGTCATGACTCATTTTTGCATAGTAAAACAGAAAAATGTATCATGAATTTCCCAATGACCCAATATGGATAGTTATCTCCTAATGCATTTTATTTAAAATTTAATTTTTAGCACCATGAGCAAAATTTTTGTCAAGCTATGGAAAATTCAAGATGTATTTTTCTTATTTACACTAAAAATTCACTTTTAATTTCTTTTCTCAATGAGTTAGTACAAAAATGTCCATTTCTTTCTGATTTTAAGAGCTAGTCCCCTATAAAGTTTGATTTTACAAGTAGGTATACATAAGCAAAATATTGTCACTTGCTTTTATAAATAACAAACTATTTTTACTTTACTAAACGCCTTAGAGAAAATATGCTGCCCTAATTCAGATAATATGAAAACGTGGGCAAATGGTTATTTTTGGTTCCTAAATCATCACAACATTTGAATTAAACAACCTCAGTGAAGCCAGACAAAAAGTCCAGATATTATAAAACTCTGGAATGTTTTCCTATAAATGATTCTAATTTTTTTTCCTATGAATGACTCTAACACACAAGGCAAAAAAAGACTTCAATGGTCATCTGTTCCATTACTGTAAGCTAGAGTTTTCATAGTCTTTTCTGAGTTTGAAACCAAATAGTGAGTGGTAAAGAATATAAATGTCCTTTATTGCTTTATCAGTTGGAAATGCCTTTACGAAATTGCATGCTGTTATTCAGATTCATTTTCTTAGACTATATGTTTTAGAAGAAAGATACATTGGCTAAATTCCTTTTTTTTATCTGCGCCATCTTCTAAACTGGATTAAGAAAACTAGAGTTCTGTTTTCATTTGAAGGTTTTAAGATTTAATGTATGAGTATTCTATGCAGCTGCCTAAAGTGTATACTTACCAACTCAAAAAGCAGAAGGTTTCTGTTGTTTTAAGCAATGATGAATGGAGACAAAATAGCTGACCATAATAGACTAAATAAATCTACAATCAACAGGAAACAAAAGCAAAATGTTGTCATTAGTAATGAAGGATAGCTGAGACTAAGTTCACAGACAACATCCTTTCCCCGTATTTTCTGATAAATGCCACAGTAGAAGGTAATGGAAGAAATAGCAATGCCTCCTGGGCTTAAAAGCAGCGCAGTGAACAGTGGTTCCAGCCATTGCACTCATGGTGCAGAGCCTGGCCTCTCACACAGTAATTTCAGCTCCAGGTGGGGGACAGTAACCATGCTACTCTACCTCAGAGAGGACCAGGAAAAACAGATTATGTTATGGGAACCAGCAGTTAGCGTAATGGCTATGTCGCTGGAGTCCCACGTAGTCGACCGCGGTTCGCGCCCCAGACCCGGTGGCTTAAAACTCACGCTAGTCGCGTGTGCGTGCATGCCCAGGATCCCAAGAGGAGAATGGAGGAGAAGGGATTGCGGCGTGACCATCCTCCCTGGGAGGTGATTTCTCGCTTTCTGTCTCTAAGTCTCTCTCTGTCTGTCTGACGAGCGCACGCGCCCTATAGCAAAAACCTCTC